TACCATGTACCATATGGTCAATAGGTGTTGGTGGCATGAGACACCAGCCAAGACTGAGTGGCGACACAAGCTAGCTACTGACTCCCCAGTTTCCGAGACAAAGTGCTTTGTCATCCACCTCAAGGAACACATCAAGTTCCTGTACACTTGTAAATATATAATAGAACATTATTAATATATAACATTTTTGCATATTTTTGTTGTAAACAATTATTGTAAACAAAATAATAATGAAAATATTAGTGTGTTTATTGTGTTGAATACAACAGTTATGTGACCCATTCTGTACTGTTTTTCATATTGGTGTTTTGTATTTATGGATTTGAGAATGCTGGGTGTTAGCCAGGGACTGTTCAGTCTCTTAGCTGTCATCTGTTTAGTTTTTTTAGGGCAGTGCTTGTTATAGAGGTATTGGGTCTTTTTTAGAAAATTATTAATACATTCGTCAATATCTGTATAGAATTGTAGCTCAGTGTGCCAATCAATGTTTGCTACTGCTGTTGTGAAGTTATTAATGGCTGCCTCATTGTGAAGTCTGAAGGTGACTTTAGTAGTGTCTTGGGGTAGTTTACCAAGAGTTGTTATGAGGAAAGTAGGGTTTGTGGTCTGTGGTATTATCGTAATTATGCCTGATTTTAACGGGGATATGGTGTTTTGGGCCAGATGTGGTCAAGTTTGGGAAACACTATCTCTGAACTCTTGTAGGTTTTGTTACTGTTGGTAGTAACATACAGTTCTCATTGTGTTGTGAATTCAGTAACGTGTGGGTTTCCCGGTCTTGCAGGAGATTTATATTGAAGTCACCTGAGAGTAGTAAGTGATCTTTGTTCATTTCGTGCAAACAATTATCATACTTCCTAGGTTTGACTAAATTGGCTAATGTTTGACTGTGAACTCTGTAGATGTTTATCAATGTGAGAGGTTTTTGTAGGTATTTGGATTTGAATTTAGCTATTATATATTCCCCCACGTTCATCCCTTGTGCAAGTATTAGTGATACATTCTAGTTGGTCTGAGTAGTATATGGCTGTGCCACCCCCTTGTTGGTCTGGCCTACAGTTGTGTATGGCTGTGTAACCAGGAATGGCATAGACATCTGTACTATCAGGCTTTAGCCAGGTTTCAGTTAGTGTAATGATGGACATATTGGCATGTAAGGAATTTAGTAATGCTATGAGGTCATCGTAATGCTTGCTTAAAGATCTGATATTGTAGTTAAAGATAGTTATGTTGTTGTTGGCTCTGAGAAGTGCCTTTGATTGTTCTGCAGTGTAGTAATTACAGTAACTGTGATTCATTTAAGTCATTAAATAAGAGGTTGGTATCAGGATCAATGCTTGTAATCATAAGATTTGTAGTGAACCTATAGTTAGAATTAAGTATAAAACAAAGTAAATAGTCTAAAGCTAAAAAATAGCACCTGAATTATTTAACAAATGTAAAATAATGAGCTAAGGTAGTTTTTTTTTTTTTTTTTTTTAAGCTAAAATAAAGGAGACAATATAAAAGAGACTAATACAAATAAAGTGATGATCAAATAATGGAGCTTGGGAATATGATAGTAGGTAGTACTATAAAGGTAATTTTTTAAAGTTAGAATTTTTTTTTTTTTTTTTCAACAAGTCGGCCGTCTCCCACCGAGGCAGGGTGACCCAAAAAAGAAAGAAAATCCCCAAAAAGAAAATACTTTCATCATCATTCAACACTTTCACCACACTCGCACATTATCACTGTTTTTGCAGAGGTGCTCAGAATACAACAGTCTAGAAGCATACACATATAAAGATACACAACATATCCCTCCAAACTGCCAATATCCCAAACCCCTCCTTTAAAGTGCAGGCATTGTACTTCCCATTTCCAGGACTCAAGTCCGACTATATGAAAATAACCGGTTTCCCTGAATCCCTTCACTAAATATTACCCTGCTCACACTCCAACAGATCGTCAGGTCCCAAGTACCATTCGTCTCCATTCACTCCTATCTAACACGCTCACGCACGCCTGCTGGAAGTCCAAGCCCCTTACCCACAAAACCTCCTTTACCCCCTCTCTCCAAGGGACTAATATAGGTTGTGGTGAACAATAAAGTGGTAATCAAATAAATGAGCTTTGGAATATAATGGCAAAATTGTGAACTTATTCTACTTTAGCACCTGAGAATAGCACCTTGATTATTTTAACAATTGTGAATATATAAACTAGGGTAGTTATATAAAGCTAAAATAAAGGAGAAAATATATAAGGGACTAAAATTAAGTAATGGTAAACAAAGTTAAATGGACAGATGGTAGGAATTATAATATAAACTTATAATATAAAAATACAATTTGAAATGGTACTTGCAATTGCACTAGAGTCTGGTATAGGTTGTTGACAAGATCAAGATTATAACTAGATTTAAATTGACAAAATAAAATTCACAATTAAAGTACCAAAAGAATAATAGTAAAAAAATAACAATGGTAATGTCTTGGTTATAATATGATAGTAAGATGGTAGACAGGTACACAGGTACAAAGGATAATATAAAGGTTTTGGGTGTCTGAAACAGATTAATTATATTTACATAATTTCTTATGGGAAATATTACTTCGGTTTTCGCACTTTTCGGATTTAGAACGACCTTCTGGAATGGATTAACCCCTTGACTGTCACAACCTCAAATCCTGAGGTGTCTCCTGGTGTCAAAAAAAAAAAATCCTATGAAATGATAGAGAATCTTTTCCTGATTGTAATGACACCAAAAAACCGAAATTTGATGGAAAACTGACAGAATTACACTCTCACAAAGTTAGCAACCTCGGTGATATTTACAAATTGGTGATTTCGCCCACTTTGAGCCCTATTTTTGGCTAATTCCATTGTTCCAGTCAACCAAATTCATAGCTATTTCTTTAGAACTACATTTTTTTCTATTGAGTGAGTACAAGAAATTGCCCATTTATCAATTTCAACTACCCAATAATGTGGTCAGAAATTTGCAATTTGGCCAATTTCACAAAAATTAAAAAATATGACAATTTCAAAATAAGGTCTAGAATGAACAATGCAGACATTCCTTGCTCTAAAATAACATTTTCTTTGTTCATCAGTCATGTCTCCAGGCCCCTCTGATATTACTCTTGCTTTCTATTTTGAATTTTTATTCAAACAAAAAATAGAAGATTTACTGTTATGTAGACTACTGCAATACTGTAATAATTGTATAAATAACATCAACTCATTCATGACTGCATATTAGAATGGCTAGTTGGACATTTATTGGAAAATGACATCATTTGTTTACTTTTGAACATCGGCAAAAATCAAACATTTCCCCTACTTTGAGCTCCATTTCCAGGTTCTTTTTATAGTAAAACCAATCAAAATCACCTTTATTTCTATAATATGTTTTCCATTCTATCAAATGAGAACAAGAAAATGAGAATACAACCATAAATACTATACGAAAATAGACCACAAAGTCGGCATTTTAATTAAAAAAACAGTCGGAGTTTTTTTTTTCTCATTATGCACCACATGCTCCAGGATTCTTTTTATATGGTGCACACTGACCACACAGACCCATTCTCTCGCATGTGGGCCTACCAGCTTTCTTCTGCTTGATTTGAAGCCGCTAGAATTTATGAGTAGATATACGTCAAACACGGTACCTCGTAAGACGTATATATATGACCGAAACAGTCAAAGGGTTAAATATGAAATCCGGGGTTTCACTGTATATGAATAAAAATTATAAAAATGAACCATTAAAAAGCAGAGAAGATTGTCTGCATCGTCACTTTTTCAATTTGTATCAGATGCGTGAGCGTGTTTGATAGGAGTGAATGGAGACAAATGGTTTTTAATACTTGACGTGCTGTTGGAGTGTGAGCAAAGTAACATTTATGAAGGGGTTCAGGGAAACCGGCAGGCCGGACTTGAGTCCTGGAGATGGGAAGTACAGTGCCTGCACTCTGAAGGAGGGGTGTTAATGTTGCAGTTTAAAAACTGTAGTGTAAAGCACCCTTCTGGCAAGACAGTGATGGAGTGAATGATGGTGAAAGTTTTTCTTTTTCGGGCCACCCTGCCTTGGTGGGAATCGGCCAGTGTGATAATAATAATAAAAAAAAATTATTTCCACTTGCTTTGACAGTTTGCTTTGGTGCATTTCTTCCACAATGATGAATGATGATTTTGGATGTTCTGTAGGGATGAATCTCTTGGACAGTCATGTACTTAAATTCTACTGGCTCTTGCTACCTGAAAAATTACCTATAAATTGGACTTACCAAATGCTGTGGATCAATCAAAACCTTTTCCAGTTTTCTTGGTCTATAGGTGGGTCTGTTTTGAAATCAACACTGCTGCAATTTGCTAAATATCAATGATTTTGTGATTTTTGCCTGGTCATTCAGTCACCACTGGATTTGTCAAGTAAGTGAAGAGTCAGCTCATTGACAGTGTACTCTTTAATAAGTGGGATCTGAATAAGCAAGACTTCCTGTATGTGACACCAACACAGTGCCAGAGTTGAAAGTGGAATTCCCTGGCAATATGCAAACATAATTTCAAACTAACATGTACTAACAGTGAAAGAATACCGTTTCGATGTCAAACATAATTAATCCATTCCTGCAAGTATTACTAAATATCATCCAGTGAAGAGAAGCTACAAGGAAATACTAAAATAATTTAATCAGTCCTGCTAGTCTACTCAAGGTTTACTAATAACTAGAGAGTCACAGATATTTGAACACTGTAGAAACACTGTGAATATGACACATGGAAACAATTAATACACTGAAGACGACTTTTCATCTCCTGTAACTTTATCACCTTAAGTGGTGAAATGTATCCTTCATAAATGTCTTGACTGTGCACGTGTTTTATTCCCACAATCTGTGAATATTAACATGGCTGTACTTGTAGAGTAGAAGGATGCTTTCAAGATCCATGTTGATCATTTATAAGTGCACAGCAGACTATTCTTGATTAATTCTCTTCATATTACTCACCTTGATTTAGAAGACTTTGGCTGTTCAGGTGATTCACTCTTTGGTTGTTTTTTTTCTTTGTCGTCTTTGCCATCCTTACTTCTCCGCTCTTTAGCGCTCTTGACAGATTTCCCATCCTCTTTCTTACCCTTGCTTGATTTACCTGATTTCTCTTTATCGCCACTGCTGCTTTTTGAGCTCTGAAACATTACAGGATTAATTTACAAATGTTACTAAATTTCACAAATAGATTTTTATTTATTTTTTCTTGATAATAGTGATAGCTCTCATAACTGATTCGGCGAGATTCTTCCAGTTAAGAGCATTTTCGGTTGGCAGAACTGAACATCTTTGGAAAAAAAAAAATGCCTGAGTAACTGCAAACAATGTAACTACCAAACACTAATAGTGATGCGAGAAAAATTACATAATCTTTAAAAAAAAAAAGGGATTGCTTATTTCTAAACCAACTTGTATCAGCAAATACTTTAAAAAGTGGGCCACGCACAAATAAAATAAATATACAATAAATCATTGCATCTGATTAACCCCTTAACTTCTTAACCCCTTGACTGTCGCAACCCGCAATCCTGAAGTGTTTCTTGGTGTCGCAAAATTTAAAAAAAAAAAAAAAAAAAAAAAATTTCTTATGAAATGATAGAGAATCTTTTCCCAATTGTAATGACGCCAAAAACATGAAATTTGATGGAAAACTGATGGAATTACGCTCTCGCGAATTTAGCGACCTCGGCGATATTTACAAATCGGCAATTTCACCCACTTTGAGCCCTATTTTTGGCTAATTCCATTGTTCCAGTTGACCAAACTCATAGCTATTTCTTTAGAACTGCATTTTTTCTATCGATTGAGTACAAGAAACTGCCCATTTACCGATTTCAACTACCCAATAACGTGGTCAGAAATTTGCAATTTGGCCAATTTCACAAAAATTAAGAAGTATGACAATTTCAAAATAAGGTCCAGAATGAACAATGCAGACATTCCTGGCTCTAAAATAACATTTTCTTTGTTCATCAGTCACGTCTCCAAGCCCCACTGATAGTACTCTTGCTTTCCATTTTGAATTTTTATTCAAACAAAAAATAGAAGATTTACTGTTATGCAGACTACTGCAATACTGTAATAATTGTATAAATAACATCAACCCATTCATGACTGCATATCAGAATGGCTAGTTGGACATTTATTGGACAATGATATCATTTGTTTACTTTTGAACATCGGCAAAAATCAAACATTTCCCATACTTTGAGCTCCATTTCCAGGTTCTTTTTATAGTAAAATCAATCAAAATCACCTCTATTTCTATAATATGCTTTCCATTCTGTCCAATGAGACCAAGAAAATGAGAATACAACCATAAATACTATATGAAAATAGACCACAAAGTCGGCATTTTAATTAAAAAAAAACGGTCGGAGTTTTTTTTTCTCATTATGCCCTGCATGCTCCAGGATTTTTTTTATATGGTGCACAATGACCACACAGGCCCATTCTCTTACATGTGGGCCTATCAGCTTTCTCCTGCTTGATTTGAAGCCGCTAGAAGTTATGAGTATATATACGTCAAACATGGTATATATACGACCTCGACAGCCAAAGGGTTAAACGTAGATCTACGTTCTTACCACTAGTGCCCCAAACGTAGATCTGCTTTTTATTTTTCCTGCCTCCAAATTTGGCACAACTGGTCCGAGATGCCTGGTCAGCACAGAATGGGTCTTAACACTCAGTGTGTGCAGTATTAAAAAAAATCTGAGACCACTTAGTACCTTGTCGGAGCACCAGTTCAATTGAGCGCCAGCTAGAGCAAACAGCGTGGCAAACACCTGGGATTCATTGATGTTATGTAGTATTAACATTCCCATTTTAACCCTTTCAGGGTTTTCGACGTACTAGTATGGCTTACGCACCAGGGTTATTGACGTACTAGAACGCCTAAATTCTAGCACCTTCAAATCTAGCGATAGAAAGCTGGTAGGCCTACATATGAAGGAATGGGTCTATGTGGTCAATGTGTGCAGTATAAAAAAAATCCTGCAGCACTCAGTGTGTAATGAGAAAAAAAAAACTTTGACCGTGTTTTTGGATTAAAACAGCGACTTTGCACTGCATTTTTGTATGGTATTCATGGCTGTATTCTAGTTTTCCTGGTCTCATTTTATAGAATGGAAGACATATTACAGAAATTGAGATGATTTTGATTAGTTTCACAATGAAAAGTACCTTGAAATTGAGCTGAAAGTAGCAGAAATTTTCGACTTTTACCAAAGTTCAAAAGTAAACAAATCATGCCAAGCGTCCAATACACGTCAACTGGTGAGTCTAATATTCTTTTACAAGTGTGCTGATATTATTTATACCATTTCTACACTAATGCAGAAGTCTGCATAACATTAAATCTTATATTTTTTGCAAGAATAAAAATTCAAAGTGGAAAGCAAAAGAAATATAAGAGGGGCCTGGGAACATGACTAACGAACAGAGAACTTGTTATTTTAGTGCCAGGAATGTCTGTCTTGTTTATTCTGGACCCTATTTGGAAATTGGCATCTTCTGAAATTTGTGTGAAATTGGCAATAATTGCCAATTTCGAACCACTTTATTGGATAGTTGAAATTGGTAAATGGGTGGTTTCTTGTACTCATTCGATAGAAAAAATGGAGTTCTAGCAAAATAAATATTTTTGTCTACTAGTACAGAGGAATTGGCCAAAAATAGGGCTCAAAGTTGGCGAAATCACCAATGCGTAAACATCGGCGAGACCGCTAACTTCGTGAGAGCATAATTCCATAAGTTTTCCATCAAATTTCATACTTCTGGTGTCATTATGATTGGGAAAAGATTCTCTATCATTTCATAAGAATTTTTTTTTTTTTTTTCCAGAAAAATTTTCAACCCTGAGAACAAGTTTAGGAGAGGGCCTCTCGACCCTGAAAGGGTTAAGAGGAAAGTGATGCTGACCCTGAGTTTAGCGGCTTTGTGGTGGATGTGGCCACAAGTGGCTGAGGAAATATAAAAATCCTCGATAATAACCCATGTGCAACACCAATTCAATTTTGGTACCACTAGTAGTGCCATCCTGCCAGAATGTCTCATAAAGTATGCCCTAAGTAAATGAAACAATTCTGGAAAATGTAATACATGTTCAGCAGGCTGGCTGGCTGGCTGGCTGGCTGGCTGGCTGATTGACTCTGGCTGTCTCTATCTCCATCTGTATCTATAACTGTCTATCTCTATCTCTGTCATCTCTGTCTATCTCACAAGTACACACAAATACAATTATACATAGTGTAAATTACCTAGGATAACCCAAAAAATCCAGACAAATTGTTAAACAGTGCTTGTAGATATAATGCATAGTAAGCATGATTGGCAAATAGTAAATATTTACACTTGCTCAGGGATCAGACGTGATGATGACTGCATCGTGTATAATACCTGTTGGTTCATGAGTAGCTCTCTCTGAGACAGAGAGAGACAAGCAGACAGAGATAAAGAGAGAGCTAGACAGACAGAGATAAAGAGAGAGCTAGACAGACAGATAGATGGAGAGCTTAACAAATACACAGAGAGCTAGAAAGACAGAGAGACATGTTTATGCATAACAGTGAAAACAAATAAAGCCAAGACTGCACTGTCACCAGTGGACTGACACTTGTCTTACATCATGCTTCAAGGGAACTTATTATTTTTTTTATTATTAACACATTGGCCAATTCCCACCAAGGCAGGGTGGCCCGAAAAAGAAAAGCTTTCACCATCATTCACTCCATCACTGTCTTGCCAGACGTCTTGCTAATTCTACTTACACTTAGGTCACACTACACATACATGTTTTTTTTGTTTTTTTTTCAACAAGTCGGCCGTCTCCCACCGAGGCAGGGTGACCCAAAAAAAGAAAGAAAATCCCCAAAAAGAAAATACTTTCATCATCATTCAACACTTTCACCACACTCACACATTATCACTGCTTTTGCAGAGGTGCTCAGAATACAACAGTTTAGAAGCATACACATATAAAGATACACAACATATTCCTCCAAACTGCCAATATCCCAAACCCCTCCTTTAGAGTGCAGGCATTGTACTTCCCATTTCCAGGACTCAAGTCCGACTATATGAAAATAACCGGTTTCCCTGAATCCCTTCACTAAATATTACCCTGCTCACACTCCAACAGATCGTCAGGTCCCAAGTACCATTCGTCTCCATTCACTCCTATCTAACACGCTCATGCACGCTTGCTGGAAGTCCAAGCCCCTCGCCCACAAAACCTCCTTTACCCCTCTCTCCAACCCTTTCAAGGATGACCCCTACCCCGCCTTCCTTCCCCTATAGATTTATATGCTTTCCATGTCATTCTACTTTGATCCATTCTCTCTAAATGACCAAACCACCTCAACAACCACTCTTCTGCTCTCTGACTAATACTTTTATTAACTCCACACCTTTTCCTAATTTCCACACTCCGAATTTTCTGCATAATATTTACACCACACATTGCCCTTAAACAGGACATCTCCACTGCCTCCAACCACCTCCTCGCTGCTGCATTTACCACCCAAGCTTCACACCCATATAAGAGTGTTCGTACTACTATACTTTCATACATTCCCTTCTTTGCCTCCATAGATAACGGTTTTTGACTCCACATATACCTCAACGCACCACTCACCTTTTTTCCCTTATCAATTCTATGATTAACCTCATCCTTCATAAATCCATCTGCCGACACGTCAACTCCCAAGTATCTGAGAACATTCACTTCTTCCATACTCCTCCTCCCCAATTTGATATCCAATTTTTCTTTATCTAAATCATTTGATACCCTCATCACCTTACTCTTTTCTATGTTCACTTTCAACTTTCTACCTTTACACACATTCCCAAACTCATCCAGTAACCTTTGCAATTTTTCTTTAGAATCTCCCATAAGCACAGTATCATCAGCAAAAAGTAACTGTGTCAATTCCCATTTTGAATTTGATTCCCCAAAATTTAATCCCACCCCTCTCCCGAACACCCTAGCATTTACTTCCTTTACAACCCCATCTATAAATATATTAAACAACCATGGTGACATTACACATCCCTATCTAAGACCTACTTTTACCGGGAAGTATTCTCCCTCTCTTCTACACACCCTAACCTGAGCCTCACTATCCTCATAAAAAAC